GATATAAATAACATAAGTGTCTTCTCTGATTTACCATCATTTACAAGGCAAAAAACCATGTTAGATAAGTTTTTATACTGCTTACAGATCCTGCACTCATTGGTTGTATAGTTTGCATGAGATTGAAGTGGAGTGATTTCTTGATTCTGTTTTTACACTTATTTGGTTTGTTTCCATTCCACAAATCCCTGAAATGGTATCTAAACAAGGCATAGGACTTCCAATGCAATTCTAGAAATGTGATTTACAGCAGGTGTCCCCCTCTGCTTCTTGGCCATGGGGAAAGAAATTAGAGCACCATTGCTACATTGTTACAAATTGTCAGCAATAGCTAATTAAATTCAAAAAGTTCTGTAAAACATGTAATACTGCTGATTATGGCTGATCTGGGAGTGGGGTAGGAACCCCAATAGCAGGAAGCCATTTACACTCTTAAGAGAACATTGTTTTCCAAGACGGAAAACATCCAGTTAGAAACAAACAAGATGAATGTATTTCTATATGTGCAATCACTTAAATTCTGCCTAAAATGCAACAATTTAAGCCTTGAACCATAAGAAAGTTACATGTGTAGTATTAGACATTGTTGGAGCTGCTACTGTTTTATTGCCTGTCAATAATTCTCTCTCTTATTTTGAAGCTTAGAATTGCTATAATGGCAAGTACTGGTAGGAAGGCATAGAGTATGAGGAAGTCGAGTGTGAACCGTGACACTGCATCAGGGAAGTTTTTATCAATGAACTGAATGCCTTGAGAGAAAATACATGCAGCATTGTTTGCAGAGGAACTGTTGGCTCCACCTGTCAAAAGAAACAAACAATTTCTTCAGTAGGTCTGTCAGTAAAATTCAAACTCAGGCTTCAGTATGTAACTCATGCATTTAATACACGTTGCCCTGACTTCATCTCAGTGATGAACTACACCCACAGCAGTATTTCTCAGCACTTTGGAGTGAAAACAGACAAGCCATGTGTTTCTGCAGTTAATCTGTGCCCTACTGCTTGAAGGGAAGAATAAAGGGTCACTAGGAGCTCTCCCTTTTGTTCATGCCAAATAAAAATTTATAGCTGTTCAGACTCAATAACTGGAGGGGCCTCAAGAAGCAACTTGTCCCGTGTGGTGGACTTGGAGTGTTCATACATGTTGAGTTGTTCCAAAATTCAGGAATGGTGACTCTCTGAAGGGCACATGAAAAACGAGCTGGTCATTAGTAGTAATGAAGTCATGGATTCATTTTCTAGCAGTTGCTATCTATGCTCTTGTAATAAAGTGAGGCAGGAGAGATTAATGGGTAAAGAACATAGAGCCTTGGAGTGGAGCACAGACACCTGGTTACAGGTATCTCAGGATGGGTCCAAAGCTCTAAGTTTTACCCCCATTCATGGATGTTGGCTGCTAACCCTGCCAACCTGATCGATTCTAATGCTCTGCTGGTTATCTTGCTCACAGCCACCAAAGCACAGCCCCACTGATCCAAGCTGCTCAATATATACCATGGTAACATGTCTGAACTGAAGCCTCACTGGCATTAGAGGAAACATCTGCTCAAGTATTACCTGTCGATACTCCCTGCCCTGATGTTTGATGTTATATTATGCAATTCTGTTGATCTTCTATTTATGTAACATTGCAGCCTATTATAAACTTAGCTTCCAAAATGCCCCCAAAGGGGGGATGAAAGAACAGGTGAAGAAGAGAAAGCTGAAGAATTGAAAGAATGAGAAATGGTTGGAACAAAAGAATCAAACTCTGGTCTAGTTGCTGATGTGGCATTATAGTCTTTAGTAATTAATAAGCTTTTTTTAACAACTCCAAAGTTATCTCTATTTTATCAGGATATGTATACGCAGAAGGAAAGTAAGAATCAACATCTCATTAAAATTATTTATACTGGACTTTTTTTTTTTTAACACTTACCACATGTGAAGTTTAAGCCATAAAATTCATTGACTATAAGAACTTCACTGCTGTATTTTTGAAAGGTAAGAAAACTGAGTAGTTTAAAAGGTTTTGGCATTTCTTCGATGGTCCTTAAAGAAACAGAGAAATTAAACTGGTTTTTGCTACTTTCCAAGAGCCAGTTCTACCCAAAATTGAAACAAGGTCCCATCTTTGGTTGTAACCTATGACAGAAACAGTTCTTGTCTGTGCCTGTAGGGTTTTCAAACATAAAGTCCATTTTTAGGGCTAAACAAGGAGACAACCATGAAGGCTGTCTCCAGCTTTGGTACAGTGTCATAACATTCAGCCCTGACGTTTATGGACAGTCACACATAATTCTATGGTTGTTTGCTGCTCACATTGCAGGGATAAACTGAAAATGACAAGACCCAATATAAAGCTCAGTTGACAAAATGTGTTGCTTCCAAACTAAGAACCCCCCTCTCCATCTTCAAAGCCAAAATTGAGCAAATAGCAGTTCACCAGAGCAATAATAGCGGAACAAAAATTCAGCTAAAATAATGAAACATTCAACAAAACCAAGCAATTTCAGCACCTAAAGTACTTCAAGACTTTAGCATTAAACAAAAGATTTAAGAGGAAATAAACATCAATCCAAGCCTCAATGCTCTTTTTAATATCACTCATTGCCTATGAGGATTAATCAAAAAGATTCACGATATTAACAATGTCTCTACTGTAAAATAAGGTTAGAAACCACTGTAATTTTTTCAAGGTATCATTAAGGCATCAGACTATGGTAGCAGGAATAACTGTCCTGTCACTATAAACATACATCTTCCTGAAATTAAGCAGGAACCAAATAATTAGACATTAATGTAGTTTTATTTGATAAGTATTAGCTGAGATCTGCTTTGAAGAGACAAAGCATCATCAACTTTGTGAAGAATCATACAGTTTTCTTGAGGACAACTTGATGTCATCTACTGTTAGGCTTCATTTTCATTGCAAAGGAGGTCTCAGATGAGCATCTCATACTTGCTCAGCATCTCAAGAAAACTTTTGGCAGTTACACATTTGTTCTGGTATGTTCCTTGATAAACAGTAATTTCAGTATTGACAAATAAAAGGGGAAAACTGTTCAAAGTTTGTGCAATTACAATGCAAAACCATTTATTTGCACAGTAATAGAGCAAGTGGATCACAATTTTCCTGCATATTTACTACACTACTTTTTTATTCATTATTTTTATACAGTTCAGTCTGCACAGGTAGAAAAAGTGTCTGAAAAGTTTACTGGCTAAACTGGAGAATAACACAGTAAGACAGTTGAGAACAATTGATTTTTTAAACCATCATTACTAGTGTTTAATGTCTGCTAAGTTCCAGCAGTTACTGAAAGCTGTAGGAACAGGGTTAATGTCTGCTAAGTTCCAGCAGTTACTAAAAGCTGTTAGGAACAGGGATTTTTGTAGGCTCCTTTAATGAGGACAGCATTTCACACCCTGATGTGAAAATAATTCAGCTGAGCAAAAAGTGTGGGAAATAGGTAATACCTTTATTGATATCTAAAGATATTAAGTGTTTGATTTGTGTGTTTAGTAC